AGAAAGACCAGAGAGAGAGAGACCAGAGAAGAGAGAGAAAGACCAAAGAGAGAGACCAGAAAGAGATCAGAGAAGGCGCTACTAACATAAACGTTGCTTATAGGAGAATAGATCAGTATAGATCAGTATGGATCAGTATGGATCAGTATAGATCATTTTAGATCAGTATAGACCAGTTTGGATCAGATTGCAGGCTTCAGTGAGTTCTCCTGATCACAGACAGTGGGATTAAGTCCGGACCATGTGCTGAATACAAAAGAGCCAAATCTCACTCCAGCTTCTGCTTCGATGCAAACCGCGAATAATGGGGCTACGACATTTGAGCTGGGTGTGCTCGCTGGTGTGCTCGCTGGTGTGCTCGCTGGTGCTTGTCGATGCATACAGAATGGGCTGGTGTCCCTCAGAAGGGTAGAATTATTCAAATAAAACTCACGGTCCGGAACATTCTAATGTCTCTTCAAGATGGACGCTTCAAAAAAGCCATAAATATGAATGTGTTCTGACAGAACTCCACTCTGCGTGTTTTTACTTTTTGTCTGACAGATATTTATTCTTTTGTCGACATTTAGGGACGTTTATATAGTCCAATGTTTTCTTTAAAATATTTTCTAATAACTGAATAGTTGGTTGGAAAAACAGTTGCCGAAAAAGTGTCAACAAAACGTGTCAAAGGCTCACAACTTGCAAATGCAGGGAGAGAGGAAAGAGAGAAACCAGAGAGTGAGAGACCAGAGAGAGAGACCAGAGAGAGGCATGAGAGAGAGGCAAGAGAGAGACCAGAGAGGCAAGAGAGAGAGACCAGAGAGAGGCATGAGAGAGAGAGCGTGAGAGAGACCAGAGAGACGCAAGAGAGACCAGAGAGAGGCATGAGAGAGAGAGAGACCAGAGAGAGGCATGAGAGAGAGAGGCAAGAGAGAGAGACCAGAGAGAGGCATGAGAGAGAGAGAGAGAGAGACCAGAGAGAGGCATGAGAGAGAGAGGCAAGAGAGAGAGACCAGAGAGAGGCATGAGAGAGAGAGAGAGAGAGAGAGACCAGAGAGAGGCATGAGAGAGAGGCGAGAGAGAGAGACCGACCAGAGAGCGAGACCAAGCATACAACTTTCTCTTTTCTGTGAGTTATGAAAAAAGATAAAAAGTTCTCTGCTCTGGTCCCACTCTCTGGTCCCACTCTCTGGTCCCACTCTCTGGTCCCACTCTCTGGTCCCACTCTCTGGTCCCACTCTCTGGTCCCACTCTCTGGTCCCACTCTCTGGTCCCACTCTCTGGTCCCACTCTCTGGTCCCACTCTCTGGTCCCACTCTCTGGTCCCACTCTCTGGTCCCACTCTCTGGTCCAACTCTCTGGTCTCTCTCTCTGGTCTCTCTCTCTGGTCTCTCTCTCTGGTCTCTCTCTCTGGTCTCTCTCTCTGGTCTCTCTCTCTGGTCTCTCTCTCTGGTCTCTCTCTCTGGTCTCTCTCTGGTCTCTCTCTGGTCTCAAGTGGGATTGTGGGTATCTGAGTTTCGAAGCCAAAAACGCAGACACTGAGACCAGTGTGACAGAAACATTGTTAATAAAAATCAATCCGTCTCTTCTCCACATGCCAGTTCCATAATCGCCTTCCCCTAAACTCAGAATAATCACTCTACAAGTGGACATTGTGACTGAGGCGACGGGAAAGTCCAGAATATCGAGTCTTTTTCCACTATTGTAAGAACGGTTTTATACTGAATGAGCTGCTTTGTTGGACAATGGTCAAACTGGAGGCTGTGGTCCTGATACCAGAGGCCAGACATGTGCTGGAATCAATGGGTAAGTGTTGAAGATGGAAAAGACTGGCTCCGGTCTCGCTCTGGTCTCTGTTTGGTCTCTCATCTCTCTGTGGTATCTCTCCAGTCTCGATCTCCAGTCTCACTCTTCAGTCTATCTCTCTCTCTCTGGTCGGTCTCTCCCTCTGGTCGCTCTCTGGTTGCTTTCTGGTCTCCCTCTCTGGTAACTCTCTGGTCCCTCTCTGGTCTCTCTCTAATCTCTCGTCTCTCTGTGGTATCTCTCCAGTCTCACTCTTTGGTCTCTCTCTCGTCTCTCTGTGGTATCTCTCCAGTCTCTCGCTCTGGTCTCGCTCTGGTCTCTCGCTCTGGTCTCTCGCTCTGGTCTCTCGCTCTGGTCTCTCGCTCTGGTCTCTCGCTCTGGTCTCTCGCTCTGGTCTCTCGCTCTGGTCTCTCGCTCTGGTCTCTCGCTCTGGTCTCTCGCTCTGGTCTCTCGCTCTGGTCTCTCGCTCTGGTCTCTCGCTCTGGTCTCTCGCTCTGGTCTCTGTTTCTGTTCGCTCTGGTCTCTGTTTCTGTTCGCTCTGGTCTCTGTTTCTGTTCGCTCTGGTCTCTGTTTCTGTTCGCTCTGGTCTCTGTTTCTGTTCGCTCTGGTCTCTGTTTGATCTCTTTGATCTCGCTGTGGTGTCTCTCCAGTCTAACTCTTTGGTCTCTCTCTCTGGTCTCTCTCTCTGGTCTCTCTCTTTGGTCTCTCTCTTTGGTCTCTCTCTTTGGTCTCTCTCTTTGGTCTCTCTCTTTGGTCGTTCTCTTGTCTCTCTCTCTAGTGTCTCTTATCTGGTCTCTCTCTCTAGTCTCCCTGGTCTCTCCCTGGTCTCTCCCTGGTCTCTCCCTGGTCCCTCTCTGGTCCCTCCCTGCTCTCTCCCTGGTCCCTCTCTAGTCTCTCTCTCTCTGGTCTCTCTTTGGTCTCTCTCTCTGGTCCCTCCCTGCTCTCTCCCTGGTCCCTCTCTAGTCTCTCTCTCTGGTCCCTCTCTAGTCTGTCTCTCTCTGGTCCCTCCCTGCTCTCTCCCTGGTCCCTCTCTGGTCTCTCTTTGGTCTCTCCCTGGTCCCTCTCATGTCTCTCTCTCTCTGGTCCCTCCCTGCGCTCTCCCTGGTCCCTCTCTGGTCTCTCTTTGGTCTCTCCCTGGTCCCTCTCACGTCTCTCTCTCTCTGGTCCCTCCCTGCTCTCTCCCTGGTCCCTCTCTGGTCTCTCTTTGGTCTCTCCCTGGTCCCTCTCTAGTCTCTCTCTCTCTGGTCCCTCCCTGCTCTCTCTCTCCTCTCTCTTTGTTCATTGTTGTATAATGGTCGAACTGGAGGCTGTGGCCCTTACAGCAGAGGCTAGACTGTTACTGGAATCAATGGCTAAGTGTTGGAAGATGGAAAGAGACTCGAAATACCCCCGGAGCCGGAGGTTCTGGATCGAGAGGTGATGCAGTGGGCGGACGGGAGCCTCAGGATTAATAATGCATCTTTATTCCACACACATAGTCGCAGACGAGAGGAATATGTGATTGTACTGGGGGCCACAGAGGGGCACTGGACACAGACAAAAGGCCAGTCAGACACAGAGAATGACTTCACTTCAGCAGCGTCTCCGCAGCGTGGGAGAGAGAGGGGAACAGTTCATTACATTTTCAAAGTACAAAAACAAGACGGAGCCGCATTTTGGAGAAAAGCCTGTGGTGTGGTCCTCAGTGTGCGACCCTTCAGACCTCGGGCTTTGATCAGTGATGAGAGTCAAGGGTCTGATAGTGTCTGATCAGAGACAGAGTTAAAACCAAATTAAATGTGCAGTGACCTCCAGCTGGCCTGAAACTCGGACCATAGAGCAAAGATTTAAAGCAGCACTATTATTCTTCTTTTGTCTCTGGAGGTGTTATTGGGCTGTAGATCTGTGTACGAGCAGTAATTATGTAGGGGTGGGACCCTCAGGGTACCTCACGATACGCGATACAATGCTCACAATAACGATTATATCACGATTAATTAATTAATTAATTATCAATATATTGGTCAGAAATATACTGTTATGGAAATCTTTTAGTAAAGCAATCTGAAATAGTTATGAGTGTAAGTTCTTAACTAATTCTCAACTCTGGATTCAAATACAGCACATATGTGATGTGTTTCTTTGGCAATGTCTTAGAACAATATGTTCAGGTCAAAGCAGATTATTACGAGTTACGTAATGTGGCCATATATTAAGTATTGATACAAAAAGAAAAAATTCAAAATGATTTTTGTCTTAAAATAATATAAATTTGTTTTTTAAAATCGATCGGCAAAAGCATATTGGTAATTGATCGTGTGAGAAAGTATCATGATACATCACCATATTGATATATCGTCACACTATAATTATGAATGTTTTTATCAGAAGCAAAAATTATGACATAGGTCAAAACAAACGAATGTAGTTCCCCCTACAGTAGGAAAAAACAAGCTTGAGGATAGGTACTAATTTATGAACCAAGAGCCAGCTTTAAGCTCCTTAGCAACAGTTGCCGTGACCCAAATGATGACAAGCACACACAACGCAGACAAAAAATAATAACATGATTCATAGAGAACAAATATAACACGCGCAAAATCATACACAGACAAATACACATGCAGCTTTTGACTTGAACCTAAACCCTGACCCCAGGGACGTGAGAGACCACAGGGACATGAGAGACCACAGGGACCTGAGAGACCACAGGGACCTGAGAGACCACAGGGACATGAGGGACCACAGGGACATGAGGGACCATAGAGACCTGAGAGACCACAGGGACATGAGAGACCACAGGGACCTGAGAGACCACAGGGACCTGAGAGACCACAGGGACCTGAGAGACCACAGGGACATGAGGGACCACAGGGACATGAGGGACCATAGAGACCTGAGAGACCACAGGGACATGAGAGACCACAGGGACATGAGAGACCACAGGGACATGAGAGACCACAGGGACATGAGAGACCACAGGGACATGAGGGACCACAGGGACATGAGGGAGCACAGGGACATGAGAGACCACAAGGACATGAGGGAGCACAGGGACATGAGAGACCACAGGAACATGAGGGAGCACAGGGACATGAGGGAGCACAGGAACATGAGAGACCACAAGGACATGAGGGAGCACAGGGACATGAGAGACCACAGGAACATGAGGGAGCACAGGGACATGAGGGAGCACAGGAACATGAGGGAGCACAGGGACATGAGGAAACACGTACCTTTCTGGACGCGTGGATGTCAAAGAAAGGCTTGGCGCGGACGCTGAAGGGCTCCTTGGTTTTGTCGATCTGTCCCGTCTTCATCTTCTCCATTCGAGGTGAGATTATCTCCTTCTCCATACAGACCAAACGAATGTTAAAGTCACAGTGTCCCACCGGCTGCCCCTGGAACCAGAAGAGGACCATCAGAGGACCATCAGAGGACCATCAGAGACATCCACACCTTCTGCGTCTACAGTACATTAGATTTGGCTGCAGCGGAGATTGCTTGTGTTTTGTTATTCGCAGTTGTACAAGATAAACACCAAGTATCATGATTAACTTCCAATAATTTAAATAAACTCTCCCAGAGTCCAATACAATTTGAATGACGGGTAGTATTATACCCTATACAGGCAATGCATTATGGGATGTTGCAGATTTTCAACATTGGCCCGCTGTGGTAAATAGAGCTGACCCGGGGAAAAACCCAAAGGAGATATAATCTACTGATTGGCATGTACTCTCTATATATTCATTTTAGGCAGTTTTAGTTTCAGATCATTAGAGGTTGGTCATGAAACTGACTTTAAATTGATGCTTAGAAAATGTGTTTTTGTGAAACCAAGGAGACTAACATTTTGGAAGTGAGACAGCTGCGCCCCCTGGTGAGGGGGTGCAGTCCATTGAGGACTTTACAAAGTTGTTAATTCACCAACAACAGATCAGAATATAAAACAGTTTAAAACACAAGAAATGCAAGGATAAAAACACAGCCATTGGTCCATGAGGAGTTTATTGTTATATTGTACTGTTACACATGTATTCCAATGTGGTTTCAATAATAAGAGAAATCGTCTTGAAGTTATAGAAACAACATATGTACCTAAACATGGTAATTATGCTTCCAAAATGCTTCTCGTTGGGACCGTTTCCTCAGACTCCCTCCTGGATGAATCCACTGCAGTAAAACTTATCTTTTGTCTGTCGGAGATGGTCAAACTCTGGCTGTAGAAGACGCTTGGGAACTGTTTAGTCTGCGCCGACGTCGTGGGAGCAAGAAACACTTAACTGAACTAAGATTTCTGTGGCGTAAGACAAAAGAAGTTTGTCTAAAGTGGAGCCGGATACGCTCACATTTCTCTAAGGGTCTTTGATGCTGTAAACAAACTACAACAGTCGGTGTCTCAAGCCGAAAAGACACATCCAACAACCACTAAAATGAAAGACTATGTATGCTGTGCTATACAAATTGCCTTGCCTTTGTACATTGGCAGTAATATCCATCAGTCTGAGCTATTTTTGTCTTGGTGTGGACTTTTTGGATTATTTTGACCTGGTTTTGTATTTGTTCTCTTGTAGTTTGCTTCCTGTCAGTCCTGTTGATTATCAGCCCCACCCAAATGTGATCCACCGCTGTCTCCTGTGTGTATCTATACCCTGTGCTTTTCCCCACTTGTTGTCCGTCCATTGTCTCTACCATGTCGGTCCCTGTTCGGGATTTTTGTGCTTTTTGTCTTGTTTTGGATTTCATTGAATTACATTTGATTTTCAGTCCTGCATTTTGGTTTCTCTTTGACTTCATTTCCCCACGTGACAATTTTAATTCCAATGTATCAATAAAACAACAATAATAATACGTCACACTTATATTAAGGTAGTTTGGACTCTCAGACACTTTACAGAGGCACATGTGAAATAGAAAGCATAATAAAAAGCTAAAAAAGCCAAAATGGTAGACAATATTCTTGGTGAAATGTGCAGCAGTGATGCTGGACAACAGCTGGTCAGTCCCACACACGGCTCCATCTGGGCCTGTGTCATCGGGAACGCCGCGGACGAGTGGGAGCTGCATGTGCCCAGAGAGTCTGCTTAACACCAAACACGGCCATTACACTGGTCACAGCACTGCCATTACTGCTGCAGGAGAGAGGGGGGAGAGAGGGGGGGAGAGAGGGGAGAAGGGGGAAGAGAGGAGAGAGGGGGGGGGGAGAGGATAGAGGGGAGAGAGGATAGAGGGGAGAGAGGGGGGAGAATGGGGAGACAGAGGGGAGAGAAAGGGGAGAGCGAGGGGAGAGAGTAAAGAGGGGAGAGGGGGAAAGAGAGAAGAGAAATGGGAGAGAGGGGAGAGAGGACAGAAAGGGTAGAGGGGGGTGAGAGGGGAGAGAGAGAAGAGAGAGGGGAAAGAAGGGGGAGAAAGGGAAGAGGGGGTGAGAGAGGAGAGAGAAGAGAGGGGGGAGAGGGGAGATAAAGGAGAGAAAGACAGATGCGAGAGGAGAGAGAAGAGAGAGAATAGAGACGAGAGAAAGAAGAGTGTGAAGAGAGAGAGGAGACAGAAAAAAAGAGGAGGGAGAGGAGAGAGAGAGAGGAGAGAGACGAGAGAGACGCTAAATATAGTGTTGTCATTACTTCCATGAGAGAAGTGCCTCTTGGAGCTCGGACAGAGGAGATTGTCGGTTCACTTCCTGTACTCGAGTAGTGACCGGAGAGAGAGAGACTCACCTTCACAGACTGCAGTGATTGATTGTTACACAGCGTCAGGTGGTTCTACAAGTGTCAATCACAGAATCCTCTGGTGAGAGACATGTCCTTCAACCGCAAACTGGACACGGCTAGAATTCAGCTCAACAGACTCAGACTTTTTATTATTATTCGTTTTGGATTCGCATTAGCTGCCAAAATGTGATGGCTAGTGTTCATGGGGGAGATTGACAGGACAAGAAGAATGAGAAAGAGAGAGCAGAGAGAGAGACAAGGGAACCAGAGAGAGGCCAAAGAGAGATCAGCGAGAGACCAGAGAGAGAGAGACCAAAGAGAGACTAGAGAGGGACTAGAGAGAAAGACCAGAGAGAGAGACCAGAGAGAGAGAGATCAGCAAGAGACCAGAGAGAGACCTGAGAAAGACCAGGGAGAGACCAGAGAGAGACCAAAGAGAGAGACTAGAGAGAGACCAGACCAGAGAGAGAGACCAGAGAGATCAGCAAGAGACAAGAGAGAGATCAGAGAGAGACTAGAGAGAGACCAGAGAGACCAGAGACCAGAGAGACCAGTGAGAGAGAGACCAGAGAGATCAGCAAGAGACCAGAGAGAGAGACCTGGGAAAGACAAGAGAGAGATCAGAGAGAGACTAGAGAGAGACCAGACTAGAGAGAGAGACCAGAGACCAGAGAGACCAGTGAGAGAGAGACCAGATAGATCAGCAAGAGACCAGAGAGAGAGACCTGGGAGAGACCAGAGAGAGACCAAAGAGAAACTAGAGAGAGACCAGACCAGAAAGAAAGACCAGAAAGAGAGAGACCAGAGAGACCAGTGACAGAGAGACCAGAGAGATCAGCAAGAGACCAGAGAGAGAGACCTGGGAAAGACATGAGAGAGACCTGAGAAAGACGAGAGAGAGACCAGAGAGAGAGAGACCAGAGAGAGACCAGAGAGATCCAGAAAACCAAGAGTGTATGAACCGTGCTCTACAAACAAACTCTCCGTACCCTGCTTAGCTACAGAAGACCTGCAGATGGCGCCACAATGCTCATCGATCGGTTTCTTTTGGTAACAAATGTTTAAATCGATAAAAGATGGTTAAAAAGTCCGTAAACCGTGAGACTGAGTGGATTTTGTTGGAGAAGCTCAAAAAGACAGACTCAGAAACACGTTAGCTTGATTGTCTCCGCGTGACTTGACATCATTAGCATAGCATCTCAGGGGACCACAACCAGCTCGTATTTATATCCCACACAAACAACACACGTGTCTTTAGGAGGAAGTATATAATGTGGAGGGAGTGGAGGCTCAAAGACACATGTTTTCACTGGGTTTCCCCTGACGACGAGCGATTGTGTTGGAGATATGAGAAATGACAAGATGAAAAAGGAGAAAGTGCGGTGTGAAAGTTATACAACGTTAAAGGGGCCAGATTCGTTAGCACAGATCTGTTCATAAGACTTATTATTCTTATTATAATATCATCATTATCATAGATGACAACAGATTTGGACATGATTTGTGCGTGTGTGTGTGTGTGTGCTGGTATCTCACTCTCGGGTCTCTCGATCTTGCTCTGGTCTCTCTCTCTGTTCTCTCTCTCTGGTCTCTCTCTCTGGCCTCTCTCTCTGGTCTCTCTCTCTGGCCTCTCTCTCTGGTCTCTCTCTCTGGTCTCTCTCTCTGGTCTCTCTCTCTGGTCTCTCTCTCTGGTCTCTCTCTCTGGCCTCTCTCTCTGGTCTCTCTCTCTGGCCTCTCTCTCTGGTCTCTCTCTCTGGTCTCTCTCTCTGGTCTCTCTCTCTGGTCTCTCTCTCTGGTCTCTCTCTCTGGCCTCTCTCTCTGGCCTCTCTCTCTGGTCTCTCTCTCTCTGGTCTCTCTCTCTCTGGTCTCTCTCTCTGGTCTCTCTCTCTGGTCTCTCTCTCTGGTCTCTCTCTCTGGTCTCTCTCTCTGGTCTCTCTCTCTGGTCTCTCTCTCTGGCCTCTCTCTCTGGTCTCTCTCTCTGGTCTCTCTCTCTGGTCTCTCTCTCTGGTCTCTCTCTCTGGTCTCTCTCTCTGGTCCCTCTCTCTGGCCTCTCTCTCTGGCCTCTCTCTCGGGTCTCTCTCTCGGGTCTCTCTCTCGGGTCTCTCTCTCTGGCCTCTCTCTCGGGCCTCTCTCTCTGGCCTCTCTCTCTGGCCTCTCTCTCTGGCCTCTCTCTCTGGCCTCTCTCTCTGGCCTCTCTCTCTGGCCTCTCTCTCTGGCCTCTCTCTCTGGCCTCTCTCTCTGGCCTCCCTCTCTGGCCTCTCTCTCGGGTCTCTCTCTCGGGTCTCTCTCTCTGGTCTCTCTCTCGGGTCTCTCTCTCTGGCCTCTCTCTCTGGCCTCTCTCTCGTGTGCATGTCTGTAGTATGTCTTGTATCCCGGTCTGTTCCAACCAGGACACGAACCCAGAACCCTCTTGCAGAGCAGCGAGAGTGCTAACCACTCAGCCATATGTCGCCATAACAGTGTGTGTATTCCTATAATATTCGGCTGAACTTTTTCCCTCCAAATGCAGTTTAACGACCCGCAGAACCGCTGAGTCATGTCTAATGTCGTGTTTGTGAAACGATGCATTTTCTGGTTCCGCTCAGAGAGAAACCAACACTTTCTGCTGACGACAAGAGAGGAAAATATGGAAATGCACCGATCGCAAATCAGTGAGAACTTCATATAAGTTCAACATCGATTTTTCTGTGCTTTCCTCCATGTTACAACACTGTTCCTCCTCAGTCAGAGTCATGGAGTTGTGTTTGGATCCATCCACGCTGATATTACGAGCATCAGTCGCAAACTTGTAGCTCCGCCCCTTCTGTCTAAAGGCTCCTGTTTCAGTTCTGTACCAGTATGATGTCATTGTACCACTATGACATCATACTATAAGCAGTTTTTTGCCTTTTTAAAACAAAAGTATGAACCAGAGAGCGAGAGACCACAGAGAGAGAGAGCAGAGAGAGAGAGAGAAAAGAGACAAGGAGAGAGAGCAGAAAGAGAGACCAGATCAGAGAGAGCGACCAGAAAGAGAGACCAGAGAGAGACCAGAGCAAGAGCAGAGAGAGAAAGAGAGAGAGAGAAGAGACAAGGAGAGAGAGAGCAGAAAGAGAGAGACTAGAAAGAAAGTGGAGTGAGCCAAGAAAGAGAGAACAGAGAGAGAAACCAGAAAGAGAGACCAGATCAGAGAGAGAGAGACCAGAAAGAGAGACCAGAGAGAGAGACTAGACCAGAGAGAGACCAGAGAGAAAGTGGAGAGAGCAGAGAAAGAGAGACTAGACCAGAGAGATAATGTAACAAAATAACAATACAGTTTACTGTATTGCAAAAAAGTTGCTTATAGTAGTTGTATTTTCCCAAAAACTAGTGGTATTTGCCCAATAAGTACAGCAGCAAAACTCATATAAACATACAATAAATATACTGTATATAAAATCTAGGCTGATGTAGATACGGTTAGCTTCTGCTGCTGCTAATAAAGAAAATAATTATCATACTGCCAGAGGAATGACTCTATAAACTGTATAAAAATGTAGATACTGACGATTTGCTTTGCCAATTTCACAGTCTTCCAAAGTGTGCAAGAAAAAAAAAAAAATCAAGGACAAGTGAAGATTGGAAGTGACATTAATAATAACAGCTTTCTTTAGCATCAAAATGTAATTATCACAGTGTCCATCAGTGTCAGGTCTCCCACACAGACAGAGACTGACGGAGACTGACGGCAACGAGAGACAAGAAAATCAGGACGTCAACTTTTAAACTGGAACTCTCTCTCTCTCTCTTAATGTTGAGGCAATAAGGCCCTACAGTTGTCCAGTGCTTTGAGTCCCAATAAGGATGAGGTGAGGGTTAGGGTTAGAGAGAGACAGAGGTGAGGAGAGAGTACAACAGATGGTTATTTTGCTTTGTTTTCCGGTACCATGGGAACCGGGAAGAGCAGGGTCTCGATTTAGCAGGCAGTCACAAGTGCCTGTTGTAAACAAGGCATTCCGTACAACTGGATTTCAGTCTCTGGTCTCTCTCTCGGGCCTCTCTCTCTAGCCTCTCTCTCTCTCAGGTCTCTCTCTCCGGCTTTTCTCTTGGGTTGCTCTCTCTGGCGTCTCTCTTTGGCCTCTTGTTCTCTCTGGTCTCTCTCTCTGGTCTCTCTCTCTAGCCTCTCTCTTTGGCCTCTCGCTCTCTCTGGTCTCTCTCTCTGGTCTCTCTCTCTGGTCTCTCTCTCTAGCCTCTCTCTTTGGCCTCTCGCTCTCTCTGGTCTCTCTCTCTGGTCTCTCTCTCAGGTCTCTCTCTCAGGCCTTCCTCTCGGGTCGCTCTCTCTGGCCTCTCTCTCTAGCCTCTCTCTCTAGCCTCTCTCTTTGGCCTCTTGTTCTCTCTGGTCTCTCTCTCTGGTCTCTCTCTCTAGCCTCTCTCTTTGGCCTCTCGCTCTCTCTGGTCTCTCTCTCTGGTCTCTCTCTCTAGCCTCTCTCTTTGGCCTCTCGCTCTCTCTGGTCTCTCTCTCTGGTCTCTCTCTCAGGTCTCTCTCTCAGGCCTTCCTCTCGGGTCGCTCTCTCTGGCCTCTCTCTCTAGCCTCTCTCTCTGGCCTCTCTCTCTAGCCTCTCTCTCAAGCCTCTCTCTTTGGCCTCTTGTTCTCTCTGGTCTCTCTCGGGTCTCTCTCTCTCTGGCATCTCGCTCTCTCTGGTTTCTCTCTCTCTGGTCTCTCTCTCTAGCCTCTCTCTCTGGTCTCTCTCTCTGGTCAGAGTGTACAGCACAGTTTAACCAAATGTGTTGTTTTTGTCACTTTTCCCTGTGATTCTTGCAGGGAACTGAAGTGGTACCACCCATGACCCTCTCCTGGAGAACACATAATGAAGGAGGCTGGATCGATGAGGGAGAGAGAGGAGAGAGAGAGAAGCCCCATACTCCCCACAGAGGCTCCTGCACCGTGGGGGGTCTCATCGAGCTGCTCCTTTGTGATCTTCTCATCAATGAAGACGAAAAGCTGACCTGGAGCCAGGGTTTCCCAGGACTGTCGTTTTATGTATTTCATTTCATAGTATCAAAACATATACTGATCTAGGCTTTTGAGGGGATAAAAAAACTGTCTGGTCTCTCTCTCTTTCTCTGCTCTCTCTCCCTCTCTTTCTCCCTCTGGCCACACACTGCTCGCTCTCTCTCTATGCTCTTGCTCGCTCTCTCCCCCACTCTGGCCTCTCTCTGCTCTCTCTGCTCTCTCCCTCTCAATCTGGCCTCTCTGCTCTCTCTTTGCCCTCTTTCTTTGCCCTCTGACTGCTCTCTCTCTCTCTCTCTCCCTCTTGCCTCTCTGCTCTCTCTCTTTGCTCTCTGACTGCTCTCTGACTGCTCTCTCCCTCTCACTCTCTCACTCTTGCCTCTGTGCTCTCTCTCTTTGCTCTCTGACTGCTCTCTCTCCTCTCTCTCCCTCTGGCCTCTCTTTGCTCTATCTGCCCTCTCTCGCTCTCTCTCTCTTTCTGTCTCACACCTCTCTGCTCTCTCTCTCTTGCCCCCCTTTGCTCTCCGTCTGCTCTCTCTCTCTGTCTCTCAGCTCTCTCTCTCTGGCCTCTCTCTACTTTATCTCTGCATGTTGGCCGTGAGCCGCATGCAGATGAGCTGAAGGGAGGAATTCATTTACAGTTTGGAGAAGTGTTAGCAATTAACAGCCTCGTGTAACGCTGTCCTCGGGCTGTTCCCAAGAAAATGTCCACGTCCAAAACCAGCCCGACGTTTAGAGCCGTTCTGCCGCCCACGAAACAATATTAAAGCTTTCACACGCGCAGATGCACAAGGGCAGACCACGCTGGCCCCGCGTCTGCTGCAGAAACACACTGATCGGTTCCAAGTCAGTTAATGGAAAGCACATACAATTATAGGGCGCCATTACATTAAAAAAAATAAGAAAAATATGGAACGTTATTAGGACAGACTGTGCAAATCGTACTCTTCCGTTTATCAAGGCACATTTCATTTAGGCTCTGGTTTCTTACTATAATGAGATTCTTCTGTCGCGGCCGCGCTGTTTGGTCCATTATTTTGTGTGAAATTATAATTTTAATGTGTGATTCTCAAGTGCTGCGTGTGTGCTCCAACATCACATGAAACCTCATGTAACCACTGGTACAACATGATTTTACTTATTTTTATTATTGAAAGACAGAGGGAAAGCAAAAACTGGATGGATGGATTAAGTATTGTCCGTAATTAGTTTTGGTCATTTCTCAAGTGAAATTATGTTCTTTGCAATAACATGTATTTCAGGTGAAGGATGCAGAAAGAGCAGACATGTGTGGAAAGGTAAGAGAGAGACCAGAGAGAAAACAGAGAGAGACAAGAGAGAGACCAGAGAGAAAACAGAGAGAGACCAGAGAGAAAACAGAGAGAGACGAGAGAGACCAGAGAGAAAACAGAGAGAGACCAGAGAGAGACCAGAGAGAGACAAGAGAGAGACCAGAGAGAAAACAGAGAGAGACAAGAGAGAGACCAGAGAGAAAACAGAGGGACCAGAGAGAGACCAGAGAGACAAGAGAGAGACCAGAGAGAAAACAGAGAGAGACCAGAGAGAGACCAGAGAGAGACAAGAGAGAGACCAGAGAGAAAACAGAGAGAGACAAGAGAGGGACCAGAGAGAAAACAGAGAGAGACCAGAGAGAAAACAGAGAGGGACCAGAGAGGGACCAGAGAGAGACCAGAGAGAGACCAGAGAGAGACCAGAGAGAAAACAGAGAGGGACCAGAGAGAGACCAGAGAGAAAACAGAGAGAGACAAGAGAGAGACCAGAGAGAAAACAGAGAGGGACCAGAGAGAAAACAGAGAGGGACCAGAGAGAAAACAGAGACCACAGAGAGACTAGAGAGAGACCAAAGAGAAAACGGAGAGAGACAAGAGAAAGAGAGACCAGAGAGAAAATAGAGAGACCAGAGAGAAAACGGAGAGAGAGACCAGAGAGAAAACAGAGAGAGACCAGAGAGAAAACAGAGAGAGAGACCAGAGAGAAAACCGAGAGAGACCAGAGAGAAAACAGAGCGAGAGACCAGAGAGAACACAGAGAGAGAGACCAAAGAGTAAACAGAGAGAGACCAAAGAGTAAACAGAGAGAGAGACCAAAGAAAAAACTGAGAGAGACCAGAGAGAGACCAGTAAACCAGTAAACTGAATTTTGATATAGATGTTTGATAGTGTGATTCTAATGGGCGTATCACTAGACCCCTCTCTGGTTTCTCTTCCCACACACGGACCATTAAGCGCTTGTGTCACTTGTGTATTGCAGATCTCGTATCCTCACAGACGGAGATAGGACCATGTGGAAAGGGCAGGACACTCACATTGAATTTGATGATGTCGTAGATCAGATAGCGAGGCACCGGCTGACCGTTCACCTTGTCAATGATCATCTCCTGCAACAGAAGCATGAAAGTCAGGGCCGACCAGACCATGTGGGTTTAACCTGGACCTGCACGTGGAAAAGTCAATTATGAGCAAATGTAGAACACATTATTGATTGATTCCACAAGTTGGAAAAAAAACGGTTCATAAATGTATGTATATTTTTTTACCTTTATAACCTGTTTGCACCATGAGCCAAAAGCCAATTCCTAGTTTGTGACCTGTTACATGTAATAGCGATAGTCTCTCTCTTTCTGCTCTCTCGCTGGTCTCTCGCTAGTCTCTCTCTGGCCTCTCTCCCTCTCTCGGTTTCTGTGATCACTCTCTGGTCGGTCTCTCTCTGTCTGCTCTCTCGCTGGTCTCTCGCTAGTCTCTCTCGCTAGTCTCTCTCGCTAGTTTCTCTCGCTAGTCTCTCTCGCTAGTCTCTCGCTAGTCTCTCTCGCTGGTCTCTCTCGCTGGTCTCTCTCGCTGGTCTCTCTCGCTGGTCTCTCGCTAGTCTCTCTCGCTAGTCTCTCTCGCTAGTCTCTCTCTGCTCTCTCTCTGCTCTCTTTCTGCTCTCTCTCTGCTCTCTCTCTGCTCTCTCTCTGCGCTCTCTCTGCGCTCTCTCTGCGCTCTCTCTGCTCTCTCTCGCCGCTCTCTCGCCGCTCTCTCGCCGCTCTCTCGCCGCTCTCTCGCCGCTCTCTCGCCGCTCTCTCGCCGCTCTCTCGCCGCTCTCTCGCCGCTCTCTCGCCGCTCTCTCGCCGCTCTCTCGGCTCGCTTGGCTCTCTCGGCTCGCTTGGCTCTCTCTCTCTTCTCACTCTCTGCCCTCTCTCTGCTCTCTCTCTGCTCTCTCTCTGTTTAACCACCATCTCCAACCCTCTTTCACACTGCGATCACATCATAATCCACCATACACTGTCTCAAATCCACCTCATCCATGTAACTCGCTCAGGGCTCAGAGGGAGGGGCCTCTCTTGGGGACACACAGTACTCTGACAGATCCCGCAGTGCTGCAGAGGAACCATGAGAACCATGTGAACCATGTGAGCCTCAGTGACGAGGAGAGAGAAGCAGAAATAGCAGCACATGTATTATGCAGGGAGCGGGAGTCGAGGCAGGTGCAGCCGCTGGACCATAAAAGAAGACCGTTACCAGGCACAAAAAGGAAAAACCACTAATGACGCAGACGACGCTACGTTGATTGGACTTCAGTGGGAAATTGTTGCTCCGTTCTTTAATAATTCAGGATGTGGAGGACTGCCAAAAAGATATACATAGTTCCCACAGACCAATGAATGTCACATGACCTCCTCGGAGACGCCATCTTTGATGGCACGCTGCTGTGTTTGTGCATTCCATTAAACAGAAGAATGAGAATAAATGTAGATATTCAAACGCAAATTGGAAAAAAAGGGCAACTTTTGAGCAAATAATTGTATATTAATACAATGGCACCACAGTTTAACGTGCTACGGACATGTTTTACATATTTGATCAAATTATGCAGCAAAAATTAACAAGCAATGCAAACATTTCTCAACTTTAGATTTAATACCAGTTGGAGCTCCATTTAATTATTTTAATTATATTAACAATTAATTTAATTAATGCTAATGCCACACGGACACTCTGGATTGCTGTTATTGTTTATTTCCGCGTTTTTGACCGTATGTTTTGGTGAATGGTGGGCAACTGATTTTTCCAGGCGTAAAGAGCAGTTTATTTTATGACACAGATCTTTTTACAGAAGCAATGCTGTTTGTGAACATTGTTTTAGCCCACCATAGAACTATTATTATCTATTTAATAATAGTTCTATGGTGCAATACATTGCCCTCGAGAGCCTCGGACGCGACACCGATCCTCCTCATAATAAAGTAATCTAACGCTAAATAATGAAACTCTCAAGTTACCAGCTATCAGCATACACAAGTTAGTACTGAGTAAATTACGTCTGTCAACACATTATAAGATACGATACGCACCTGACACAAAGTGCTCCGAGCATATTCTTGCGTGTTTTGAGGGAGTTTCTTGCCTGTTTATCTTCGCAAGCCATAACCTCCGTGGTTGTTCTGACAAAAGCTTAGTCTTCTCACATTCATGAAGTCTAATGATGGGTATACTGTAAAATCCAAGTTTAACAGAACCTCCGGCACGATTTGAACATCCATTGACCCAGCAGGAGATGACCATTTTCAACTTTATCACGACTTTAACACGTTTCAGCTTCTTTTTCTATTGTTTTGCCCACAGAATGCCAACACAAATGGCGCCGGGTCGGCAAATCCCCGTATGTAGTGACGTCATGTAGGAACTATGTATACAAGGTCTCAGGGCAATGTATTGTCCACATAAGAACAATACTTTCCCCTTTATGGGCTCTTTGGTCTGGCTCTCTCTCTCCGGTCTCTCTCTCCGGTCTCTCTCTCCGGTTTCTCTCTCCGGTCTCTCCCTCCGGTTTCTCTCTCCGGTCTCTCTCTCCGGTCTCTCTCTCCGGTCTCTCTCCCGAGTCTCTCTCTCTCCAGTCTCTCTCTCCATTTGTATATATGAAGATTTCTTTTCCAAAGTGTTTTAAACTTTAATGTTGTTTTGACGGAGGATAGACTGAAATATTTCCAGCTAACTGGACGATGTTGCCTTAGGGCGAAACTAGAAGTAAACATAAACATGGAGCAGAAAGACCCAGACCATTAGTGCCATAGGAACCAACTCAGACTCTTAAGGAGCACAGGGACTGGCCTCCTGCTGGGACTCAGAGGAGCACAGGGACTGGCCTCCTGCTGGGACTCGGAGGAGCAAAGGGACTGGCCTCCTGCTGGGACTCAGAGGAGCACAGGGACTGGCCTCCTGCTGGGACATTTATTAACATCCCTATGGACCAATGGCTCGTATGTGTTTGTTATTACTGCATTTCGTATTTGATTATCTAATCTGTCGTTGTCGAATCCACAACTTTGAAAAGTCCAATACACAGGGAAATACACAAACACAATGAATAGCATTACATTTTTTTTAAAATCAGTTCACACTCTAAAACCTTAAATGGTCGAGTAAATGGGGTCATTATCAATTGCTATGACCAAAAGCGTTCCCCTTTAACACGTTCAAAAAGCAAACGGCAAAACAGACACGTCCTGCTCTTCAAACGCATGAGAGCGCTTGGATCGGCTCCAGTCTGAGCATCTGGCGCTTTGCATGGACCTCGCCTCCCGCTACCTTCCATAATGAGACAATATGGTGTCTCTTTCTATACACATGTTTGAGTCGCCAAGAGCCGAGCCGCTGGAGAGGAGAGGGCAGGGCAGACACGGCTAGCCCAGGGACAGGGGAGGTATCGTCGCAGAGAGACCCACACACACACGCAAATTAATACATTATTGGGACCAAAGGATGCCAGCAGGAGCCGAGTTGGCATTTCTGCTGGAGAAGCTCATTAGGTGTTATTCTCTAAAGCGCCGCGTGAAGACAAAGAGGAGGGCGCCTTTGGGCTGGAGATGAAACATATCTGGCAACGCAGCTGGTTCTCAACGCGGAGTCCTAAGGGCGCGTTTTGAACTGCTAAAGAGCCACAATGTGAACCGAGGGCCGCGAGCATCAACAGATGAAGAGGCAGCAGTGAAAGCAAAAGGCTGTTGTCGGTTCTTAATCTACAAACAAATGTGGGACGGAGAAACTGGAGGTAGAGAGGTAGAAGGTGGAGCTGTCGCGTTTTACAGCAGAGAGAAAGAATAGGGGATTCAGACGAGAGAGAGACATGGATCTGGGGTCTAAGGAAGCGAACATTCCCCTCTGATGAGCACATGACACACAACAACAACATAAACAACACACAGACACACACAACCGATACAAAACTAAAACAGAGCCCTCAAACTGCGAGAGAGAGAGAGAGAAACACATACAGTGAGAGAGAGACAGAGATAAACAGAGAGACAGAGAGCGAGAGAGAGACAGAGACAGAGAGAGAGACACACATACAGTGAGACAGAAAGAGATAGAGAGACAGAGAGAGAGACACACATACAGTGAGAGAGACAGAGACAGAGACAGAGAGAGAGACAGAGACAGAGACAGAGAGAGAGACACACATACAGTGAGACAGAAAGAGATAGAGAGAGAGACACACATATAGTGAGAGAGACAGAGACAGAGACAGACAGAGAGACAGAGACAGAGAGAGAGACACACATACAGTGAGACAGAAAGAGATAGAGAGAGATACAGAGAGAGAGACACACATACAGTGAGAAAGACAGAGACAGAGAGAGAGACAGAGACAGAAAGAGAGAACGCTTGAATGAATGCTAATTGAATCATTTTTACAATAACCACGTCAATTGAAAGCTATTTCTTGCCTCTTGTCATGAATATTTTCCCCTGTTGTTTTGAGAAATGTATTGTGAAGGAGACAAAAGATGATGACACACTGTAACTTAAGAGATATGCATTGATGACTACTTTCATCAATAACAGACATTACACAGAAGAAAATTATGTAAAAAAAATAATAAAAAAAATAAGGAGATGTCTGTGGGAAGCCAAATTGCTTTTTAGAAAGTGCACTGGATTTAGGAGCATATGTAGTAATTCTTCTACTTTGTCGCTAAAAGAGTTAATCATAATGTTTTCCTTCTTGTGTGACTCTGGCCAACATCACTCACTAAACATGGGGAGGCTGCATTTCAGATTCATGCAGTCTTCCTGAAAATGTGAGACAGGCCTCTTCTCTGACAACGTTTATATCCAGGTTAAAACAGGTTTACAACTGAGAGATTTATATTGTTATCATTCTTTTTAATGTACTGTGATTTTTTATGATTGTAACGCTAACTGGATATTTTCAGCTTCTTAGAGTTGCCTTGTGTATGCGTTGTGCTATACATATAAACTTGCCTTGCCACTCTCCAAACTATTCTCAGTACACCAGCCCGACACGGCGGCGAAAGAACAGAGCAAGAACATAGCACTCGCCGATCCGTCCTCTCCAATCTAATCAACTCCAACTCAACGGACAGTTTCCAGGTGTCGTTGGAAGCGGCGGGGGGTGAGTCATCGGCGCTCTTACACCGACCCTCGCTGACCTAAGCCCCGTCCTCAAACCAATAAGAGTCTCAGCCGAGTTTTACAAGGCCATAAGTCTCCAGGTATCACTGCCAAGACACACAGAACGAGCCCGGCTGCGAGAGAGATGGCATTTGAGCGCTTCCATTTGTCCAGGACGTGTGGGAGAAGCACGGCGCTGTGACAGATGGGACGGACAACAGCGAGAGTACGACAGGTGCCACACATACAGGACTGTTGGGCTCCCATTGACTTAAGTAAACTGCTCCCGCTCAGTGGATGTTTGTGTCACACTCACTGTTTTGGGTACAAAAATCTGTGGTTTATCGCTCTCTGTGATCCTGGTGTTTATGTTGCGGTGATGTCTTTATAAATCCAGATGTGAGCCATCTAGGGGTTGACCAATCAGATGCCTTCATCCAGCTAGCCTAAGCAACACGTCTTAGACACAGTTTATACAGCAGGGGTGCCCAAACCTTTTGCCTCCAAGGGCCAAAGTAAAAAATTGCCAGAGGGCAGCGGGCCAAATACACCGATATTACACGTGAAACACAAATGTAAATTTGATCAAGTTCCTTTAATTACTGTTAAATAATGAAATGCATTAATTATTGTCTATCAGTGCAAATCACAGCTGAATGAAGGAAAACAACACAGTCTTAGTGAAGTGGAGGCTCCAGGGAAATATGCAGGTTTAGAGGCGACTACAGCACGGAGAGATTCCGGTCAGAGAATCAGGGTCCAGAGGAGGGAGATTTCTGTCGTAGCTTATTTACAGGTTAAAATCAAATATATATAATCATATAAAAGCTATAAATTGGGTCTGTAACTCAATATTTAAAAAATGCAGCACTTAATTGGTTGCTCCTAAAAAGTTAAGACATGCCCTTTAATTTTTGCACAAGACGCAGCGCAGATTGTCAGATGCACAATATACGTAACTAATAATAAACTAGCAATATAATGAACTTTGAACTATAAATTAGCAGCAAAATCAAACATTTGACATTAGAATACTGCTTGAAGTAGGTACATCACATCAGAAATGATAAACTGAGACTCAAGATAACATGAGTAAAGTCTGTTAAAGGACAACTCACCCTCAAATCCACTTTTTTTTGCTGATAAACGGTATAAATGAGTGTCCAATAGTGTTGTCTACATATCCTGGCCATAATCTTGTCACTTTGGTGCAAATTAGTTGAAAGTTAGACTTTCTGCCTAAAACCATCTGTGAGGCGCCATCTGCTGGCGACCTGTATTACTACATTTGAATTTTGAATCTGGCGCCAACACTGGCACAGAAGTTGGACCTGACGTCTGCAAGTTGGACCTGACGCCAGCAGCCCCCCGCCCAGAGCAATGTAAACGGCCAAGTCTCGTTCACGCCCCCTTTAGTCCTCCAGGCTACGCCCATTTAGAGGAAGATTTGAACAGGAAATGTGAGTAACGTAAGCTCCGAGGAGTGGGGGTGAGAACCACTTTAAGTAAACACAGACATTGCACATATCAACAAATCACACATGGTATTTACTTTCTGGTCATTAACGCACACTGACACAGGCAACAACGTGAATGAATGAAGGCGGCTGCGTGTTGCTCTGGCAATAGCTCCATGCTCAAACATAAGTACTTCAATATGCAAAATAGAAACCTAACACTAGGGGCGCACTTCTCTGCTTGGCTTTCCTATAGTTTTATACAAGCCCAAAAGGCTCATGGGAGATCCTCTCAAATTGATAAAACATAAAATTGCTTAAAGAAAATTAATAGTAAATAGTAAATGAACATAAAGGTGCCTTGCACCCAATGGTTTGGGTGAAATCAAACAAAGTGTGTTTGATTTAAAAACATTTTAGTGCAAGTTGATGTGAACCATGAGTGAGGCGTGTATCTCCATACAAGACTAAATTACTGGATAGCAAGACTTCAAGTGGCGCGGACGCGCCCGCACGACCCTAAATATACGTCTGTGTGTCCAGCCAGTCTGAGGAACGTAGATAGAAACTTTCTGTAAGGGTGGAAAACGTTCGGCGGGCCAAATGAAATGATCTGGCGGGCCAACTTTGGTCCGCGGGCCCCACTTTGGGCACCCCTGTTATACAGCATAGCTGTGACTGTAAAAGGTTGAGCATCGGTTTGGCCTCCTGTTCCCATGGAGACAAGTGTTTCAGGTGAAAACGTAAGTGTTGAGAAACAGGCCCCAGACGCTGCAGCTGTTTCACAGCTGTGTGAATTCTCTGCTGCAATGACCTCCACTTCCCCCACGCAGTAGAACAAACGTAAACAACAATGGCGGCAGGTCGACTAATGCTACATGTGCTTCGCTAACGGAGACTAGAGCAGAGCAGAGCAGAGTAGAGTAGAGCACACTAGAGTAGAGTAGAGCAGACTAGAGTAGAGTAGAGCAGACTAGAGTTGAGTAGAGAAGAGTAGAGCTGACTAGAGTAGAGTAGAGAAGAGTAGAGCTGACTAGAGCAGAGTAGAGAAGAGTAGAGCTGACTAGAGCAGAGTAGAGCACACTAGAGAAGGGTAGAGTGGAGTAGAACCAAGTAGAGATGGTGGAAACAGGGCTAGTGATGCTTTATCATCATAATCTTAAACATAACACGTGTCGTCAAACCATAAACACAGTCAGATCAATTATATTAAAGGAGAGGTGGTTCTCATTAAAGGTTCTCTCACCCCGTCCAGCAGTGTGTTGGCCAGGTGCACCCGAGGGTCCTTGCGGTAGGGGAACTCCAGGTTGTCTATGTGGAACACGCTGTTGTCTCTGTCATACATGAACACGTGGTTCTTCCCATTGATGAGCATCATGTACCTGTGGACAGAGCAGAGGGTCAGACTGAGAGAGGAGGAGGTCAGACTGAGAGAGGAGGAGGTCAGACTGAGAGAGAAGGAGGTCAGACTGAGAGAGGAAGAGGTCAGACTGAGAGAGAAGGAGGTCAGACTGAGAGAGGAGGAGGTCAGACTGAGAGAGGAGGAGGTCAGACTGAGAGAGGAGGAGGTCAGACTGAGAGAGAAGGAGGTCAGACTGAGAGAGGAAGAGGTCAGACTGAGAGAGGAAGAGGTCAGACTGAGAGAGAAGGAGGTCAGACTGAGAGAGGAGGAGGTCAGACTGAGAGAGGAGGAGGTCAGACTGAGAGAGGAGGAGGTCAGACTGAGAGAGGAGGAGGTCAGACTGAGAGAGGAGGAGTTCAGACATCATGTACCTGTGGACAGAGCAGAGGGTCAGACTGAGAGAGAAGGAGGTCAGACTGAGAGAGAAGGAGGTCAGACTGAGAGAGGAGGAGGTCAGAGAGAGAGCAGGAGGCCAGTCCCTGTGCTCCTCAGAGTTCCAGCAGGAGACCAGTCCCTGTGCTCCTCAGAGCCCCAGCAGGAGGCCCGTCCCTGTGCTCCTCAGAGCCCCAGCAGGAGGCCCGTCCCTGTGCTCCTCAGAGCCCCAGCAGGAGGCCAGTCCTTACATATATTAACTCATAAATACTGTATATTTCTGAGTGGATCACAGTGTAATCCCAGATAAAACCATGTGAGAGAAGTGTAGTAAGTAACAGAACATGAAATAGGATTCTAGAACTGGCTCAGCATCAAAACCAAGGAACAAATGTTTACAGAGTCTGTTCTGTTCAAATACAAGACGAAGCCATTTGATTAAAAAAGTGCATAAGCTGCTAATTTAAAAAAAACGTCATCACATCTGCAGCTGCTCAGCCAGTTATCAGCGACTGTGTAAAAACTGGACTAAGCACCAAAGTGTGTTACATTAATTCTACCCCAGCTCATATTGGAGCTGGGCTAGAATTAATGTAACTTGAATCTTGGCCTCAGTATCTGGAGTTTAGCGCGGGGAAAAGCAATTGTATTTTCCCATTACAACCTCCCTCAGCGCCTCGTCCCGGCACAAACAGGAAGGAGATTTACTCTATCTTCAGACTGCATACATTGGCAGACGAGGTGGAGGACGAGGTGGAGGACGAGGTGGAGGACGGGGTGGAGGACGAGGTGACGCGAGGCCGGGCTGTAATCCTCCACTTTGCTTCGCAGGTGATAACTGAGCAGTTCAGCTCAAAAACACATTATTCTACAGGTGCAGGCTTTGGCAGAGCGGACCACGCAATTAGGAAGTTCATTTATGAAGACGGAACAAAAAATAACTGTATTTTGGTCACGCTAACGTCCTGGGACTACAGCCTCAGTCCGGGATCTACAGCCTCAGTCCTGGGTCTACAGCCTCAGTCCTGGGTCTACAGCCTCAGTCCTGGGACTACAGCCTCAGTCCTGGGTCTACAGCCTCAGTCCTGGGACTACAGCCTCAGTCCTGGGTCTACAGCCTCAGTCCTGGGTCTACAGCCTCAGTCCTGGGTCTACAGCCTCAGTCCTGGGTCTACAGCCTCAGTCCTGGGTCTACAGCCTCAGTCCTGGATCAACAGCCTCGGCCCTGGATCAACAGCCTCGGCCCTGGATCAACAGCCTCGGTCCTGGATCAACAGCCTCGGTCCTGGATCAACAGCCTCGGTCCTGGGTCTACAGCCTCCGTCCTAGATCTACAGCCTCAGTCCTGTATTTACAGCCTTAGTCCTGGATTTATAGCCTCAGTCCTGGGTCTTCAGCCTCAGTCCTGGGTCTTCAGCCTCAGTCCTGGGTCTACAGCCTCAGTCCTGGATCGACAGCCTCTGTCCTGGATCGACAGCCTCAGTCCTGGATCGACAGCCTCAGTCCTGGATTTACAGCCTCAGTCCTGGGTCTACAGCCTCAGTCCTGGATTTACAGCCTCAGTCCTGGGTCTACAGCCTCAGTCCTGGATCTTCAGTAGAGTAGAGTAGAGTAGAGTAGAGTAGAGTAGAGTAGAGTAGAGTAGAGTAGGGTGTAAACTGGGCTTACTACTGTGTAACAAACTATAAAACCATAATTTCTTCTTCTTAATTACTATGTTCATTTTCTTTATCTGATATAGTATTAATTCATGACAGATTTATAAAACATGAAAATCTGTGTTTTTGACTCGGCTGATGCCACATCCAAAGGCAAACAGCCATTTCAATTATTGCTGAGAAAATGGGAACAAATGTTTTTGGAGAGACCTCTCGTTACACTATGTCCCTGAACGTGGCGCGAACTCCTGCCTTCTGTGGATCCAAACCAAGTCAAAGCGAGAAATTGCTTTTCTTCCCAAAGGCACCTCGGGGATATTAAAAAGAAAGACTAGAGAGAGAGAGAGAGAGAGAAAGAGACTAGAGAAATTGACTAGAGAGAGAGACTAGTGAGACCAGATAGAAAGACCAGTGAGAGAGACTAGAGAGACCAGAGAGCGAGATTAGAGCGAGACGCAAGAGAGCGACTAGAGAGAGACTAGAGAGAGAGACTAGAGAGAGAGACTAGAGAGAGAGACCACAACGAGACCACAAAGCAACCAGAGAGAGACCAGAGAGAGACCATAGAGAGCGCTTTTTAATAATATCAGAATTGTGTCTCTGGTCTCTCTCTGGTCTCTCTCTCTGGTCTCTCTCTCTGGTCTCTCTCTGATCTCTCTCTCTGGTCTCTCTTTCTGGTCTCTCTCTCTGGTCTCTCTCTCTGGTCTCTCTCTCTGGTCTCTCTCTCTGGTCTCTCTCTCTGGTCTCTCTCTGGTCTCTCTCTGGTCTCTCTCTGGTCTCTCTCTGGTCTCTCTCTGGTCTCTCTCTGGTCTCTCTCTGGTCTCTCCTTCTGATCTCTACCCTGTGGTGTAGAGTTTAAACATCTTTAAGTGTGTGATGATTTAAACTAAAGGCAAAACACTGATTGGTGACGACGCTCAGGTCTGAATCAAAAGGTTAAGTCGTTAATCAAAGCCACTGGAGCAGACTCTGAGGAGGAGACGAACAGAAAGTGGAATATTTTGGATACGCCGCACTCATCTTTCCTCCCTGGTTTTTTGAAGAGACTCCGTGGATGGAGCTCATGGCCTCAGGTGAGAGTAAGAAGCCAGAACCAAACCAGCTGTTTCAAAGTCGCAATCGACAACTTTCTGAAGGATTTTACAAAAGGATTTTAACAAGAAGCTTCAGGGAGAGGTTTGATTCAAAGGTTCAGTCTCGGCATACACTCTCTATCTCTCTCTCTCTCTCTCTCTGTGTCTGTCTCTCTCTCCCTCTGTGTGTCTGTCTCTCTCTCCCTCTGTGTGTCTGTCTCTCTCTCCCTCTGTGTGTCTGTCTCTCTCTCTCTCTGTGTCTGTCTCTCTCTCTCTCTCTCTCCCTCTGTGTGTGTCTGTCTCTCTCTCTGTGTGTCTCTCTCTCTCTCTCCCTCTGTGTGTGTCTGTCTCTCTCTGTGTGTGTGTGTGTCTGTCTGTCTCTCTCTCCTGTTTAGTAGTATTTAGTTACTTAAATCTTTGTACCAAATTCTAAAGAGCATAGGGACTGTCCTCCTGCTGGGACTCAGAGTCAGGACTAAACATGAAGAGGCAGCGCTTCAGATTCATACAGCTAAAATCTGCAACAGTCTTCCTGAAAATGTGAGACAGGTTTCTTCTCTGACAACGTCCAAATCCAGGTTAAAATAGTTCTGTTTAGCTGCATACATCAGAAGGGTTGTATCTTCACTCTTTTTATGCACTGCCATTACTTATTATTCTAATTTTTTGTTTGTTAAGTTGCCTGGTGTATGACATGTGCTATATTAATAAACTTGCCTTGCCGAACAGGAGAGGTGCGATCAGAATTAGTGATAGAGAATGGGATTAAATGTGGTGACTGTGTGAATGTTGACTGCTCTTGTTTATGCCGTGAGCAGCTGCAGCCTGTAATGATGGAGGTTGATTGTTATTAATCTGCTTCAGTTTGTGACGCTGAAGTAAAAGTTCAAACTTTCAGACGCCTTTGGGGCCGTTTGCCTTTTACACAAACTACAAGAACAACAGACGTCTTTGCAAAACTCAGCTTTTCAGTCGGTGCAAAATGTTGAATGAAAGTTGTGGAGACACTTCTGTCCAATGGAGGGTCTAAAAACTGCAGTAGAGGACACACACTCAGGCAATGGTCAAGGGCATAAGAGAGAGAGAGAGACCAGAGAGAGAGAAACAAGGGACCAGATAGAGAAAGAGAGTGAGAGCTAGTCTCCAGAGAGAAACCAGGGAGAGAGACCAGAGTGAGACCAGCAAGAGACAAGGGAGAGGGAGACCAGAGACAAGAGAGAGAGAGAGAGAGAGGAGGAGGAGAGACCAGAGAGAGAGAGAGAGATCAGAGAGAGTGAGAGCAAGTCTCCAGAGAGAAACCAGGGAGAGAGACAAGAGAGAGACCAGAGAGAGACCAGACAGAGAGAGGGAAACAAGAGAGAGAGAGAGGAGGAGAGAGACCAGAACATTCTAAAAACTAAAATAAAAGCCTCTTGGGCCCTTAGTACCAGGGCCGATCTCCAGATATCGATGCTGCAACATTCCATCTAATGCACATGTTTTTAAACCTACGCAGACACGGGGAGAACATGCAAACTCCACTCAGTTTGCCCTGTTACGACCGGGATTTGAACCTTGCTGCGAAGCAATAGTGCTAACCACCCAGCCGCCGTACCAGCCCTAGTGATACACTGTCATTTCTCTCTTATTTACACTTCTATAATGAACCAAATACATAGAAAGAAAGGACAGAGTGAGAACAATCACAGCATCTTTGTAGATTTAACAAATTATTTGAAAAAAATAATCTATCGAATAAAAGCGTCCCTGTAACCAAGGGCAACCAGGGGCTTGGGAGGAACGTGTGAAATTATGCATGTCACTATGGCAACCTTTGGGCTGGATTCATGTTTCCAGAAAAAAAAGGTTCCCTTCTGCCAGAGCAGACATGGACGAGC